CATTTCTATTTATTCTGCAGAGAGAACGTTTTTTATATAGGATTATAACTAAACTAATCCTCAACATTTTAAAGAAATACTTACTGTAAAATTCATGTGTACCTAAGTTGGTCAATGAGGATTGCCTGAACACTAGAAGAGAATACTTGATCTTTGTTCATAATTAAGGTTTACTGCAGTAATATTTATTTATACATTTTTTCACCAAATAATAAATTAATTTGAGTCAAATATTATGCTTCCCATTGGCTTGAGGGAATTTGATTTAGTGACTTGAGCCACTGACCTGGTAAAAAATCTATAGAAACATCTGGTGCTGTGAAATAAAAGACACTAATACAATGAACACTCATTTTCCCCTGGATGCCTGTAGTAAACCATATTCATTATTGCTATGTTAAATGATTATATGTCTTTGAGTTTCTCTCTACCCCCACCCCCAGGAACATTAGTAATGGATATATACTAACCCATACAGAATTCACCTGATTTATGTCTATGTTGCAAAAGCTGTTGAACATTTAGTAAAAATGCAAAGTTTCCTGGGTACATTTAAAATACATAAATGTATTACTTTAGTTCTTGCTAGGCCACCCATGCATAACAATTATTAGGTATTTTCTCTATGCATGCTCACTAAAGTGTATGGGAAGGTGTTGTACAGCATACAGATGGGCTGAGTTCTCACCTATAAGAAACTTGTCTGGTTTTTATCTTCAAGTCTGTGTTTAGATTGTCAATACCAAGTAGTGAAAGAGAAAATGGAAAGGGATAGAAACCTCCTTTGGCATTCCTGCAAATAGAAATAAGCCCTGATATTGTATTGATGGTAGTTGTCACTTTTTATATTGTAAGTTTACTTTTGGTAGCATGTCAGAAACAAGATAAAGGTCATATTGCTTAAAGCCTACTATAAGCATAAATGGTAGGGGACAATCAAACCCATAAATTGGCAAATTAACCCCCACCATGCTTTAATAATCTGTAAGACATCTTAAAATGAACAAAAGGATCAATGACCTTATTTTTTTCCTCACCATAAATTTATGAGCTGGCTCTATGACTAACTTAGGTCAAAATTTGAAAATGATTTCTCTTTTAAATAAAGCTTTGTCTGTCTCAATGTACTGTTTATTAACTACTCTTGGGCCCTCCTCTTACATGAGAATGAGATTGGATAAGCTCATAAACAAGAAGTTACAGAGATCTCTAGCTTAAAGAGAAAAGTAGGTCCGTGTTAACATCCTTATAAATGAGTCTGGGAGTGAGGAGTGGGGAGGAGAATTTCCAGGATTATGAACAGTCTAAGTGAGTTAGATAATTAAGAGACTCTTCTTACATATTTCCTAGACATATCGGAAAAAAATATCTTACAAATGAGTACTGTGCATGCCTTAAGCCATACTTACTATATGAAAATTTTTTATGCCTGAGAATCCAAATGTCATGTTTGAAAGCCAAAGGATAACATGATGTATTTTGAAAAGCCCATCTTATAAAATAGGACTTTGTTTCCTTCCCCAGCAAATTGCAGGTTTGTTCCACTGAGAAAAAGAAGAACATGAACATGGCTATCGAATGATCTCTTGATCCTTGGACAAAACTGAGGAAAAAGTCTAACAAATGCATCGTTTTGCAGTAAATTAGATCAGATTTCCGCATCTCCGCACTCAGTCTGCAAGCTGACAGTTCAGTAAAATGTTCCCTTGTAAGGTTCGCCCTCTTAGGAAAAGGGGCAATAATTCATCATTAGGATTTCAGAGTCCAGGTGTAGATGGAAACTGATGGAGCCTCCAGCGAGGCTGGGAAAGTGCGTGGAAGAAGAAAATTTTATCTGAAGCCTAATTCCCTGGTTACAGCAGAGAATAATTAAGATAATATTGCTTCAAGAGTCCTTTAATGATTAAAAATCACATATGCAGAATCCATAAATTGGAGGGCAACAAATTGGAAGGCTATAACATCAGAGAACTGTTTTGTGCACATCGTAGTGGAAAGTACACTAGTGCCGAACGCTGTACAGGCAGCCACCGGAGACCGGGACCATTCCAAGGACTTTGTTTAGATGCAACAAATCATTTGTCTGTTATTAACCCAGAGCTTGTAATTATGCAGATTGCCATAGATTTTCCTGGGCCTGGAAGTGAGATTGAGGGTTGTTCACCGTAGAGCAGGCAGCTCAGGGCTGGCCATGCATTACTGAACTTGCCACATTTATCATGTTGACTGATGGCAGCAGAAGCAGGTCTCAGGTCCCAGTGGTTAATGTAGTGGGTAATTAACTGTCATTTGCCTAGTAATAGGCTGATGATCAATGGTTTGTGTGGAAACAAATTCTAATCAGGTAGCTGATAAATGCTCAGCTAGCGAGAGCAATTGAAATTGGGGGAAACTATGTCCAGAATTTCAAAATGGCATTGTGTGTGTATGTTTATTAGGTATAAGCAAGCTGAGTAGTTCTTAAAATCTGCTTTCTCTCATACTAACCATATTTCGTATCCACAAGTGCATCTGTGTTCATGGAGTAAAGAACATTTTAGATTTTTCTAATTTCTCAAAAATAATAATGAGAGCAGAAAGCACAAATAGCATACATAAGTGATGTGACTCCTGAACAGTGAAGTACACTAAAAAGTACACACAGGATGGTAGAATGAACAAGAAAATTCTGCTTACAAAAGAACAGGATGAAAGCTTTAGGTTGTGAAGTTTCATTTTTAATGATGCCAGTGGAAGAAGTGAGATAGCACCTTTACACTGAAGTTGTTTTTAAAGAAAAATTACTTCCCCAAATTAGGATTGTACACTGAGAACACAAAGGTTCTCAGAGTTATATTCCTTAAAATAAGAACATTAAAATGTTTGAAAAATAAGCATCTACCAATTTTGAATTTAGTCTTCTGGAATATAAACCTTGTGTGCTTTGTATCCACTGTGGAGATTATGCAAGCAGACTGTTTTTTGTTTGGGTTTTTTTTTGGTATCATTAATATATAATTACATGAGCAACATTGTAGTTACTAGATTCCCCCCATTATCAAGTCTCCATCACATACCCCATTACAGTCACTGTCCATCAGCGCAGTCAGATGCTATAGAGTCACTACTTGTCTTCTCTGTGCTATACTGCCTTCCCCATGCTCCCCACCTACTCCACATCGTTAATCATCAGAGAAATGCAAATTAAAACCACATTGAGATATCACCTCATACCAGTTAGGATAGCTACCATCCAAAAGACAAACAAGAACAAATGCTGGCAAGGATGCGGAGAAAGGGGAACCCTCCTACACTGCTGGTGGGAATGTAAATTAGTTCAACCATTGTGGAAAGCAGTATGGAAGTTCCTCAAAAAACTTAAAATAGAAATACCATTTGACCCAGGAATTCCACTCCTAGGAATTTACCCTAAGAATGTAGGAGCCCAGTTTCATAAAGATACAAGCACCCTTATGTTTATCGCAGCACTATGTACAATAGCCAAGAAATGGAAGCAATCTAAGTGTCCATCAGTAGATGAATGGGTAAAGAAGAGGTGGTACATATACACAATGGAATATTTTCAGCCATAAGAAGAAAACAAATCCTACCATTTGCAACAACATGGATGGAGCTAGAGGGTGTTATGCTCAGTGAAATAAGCCAGGCGGAGAAAGGCGAGCAGACTGTTTGAAGAGCATGTAGTTTCCACCCTCAAGGAGCTTCTGTTCTTCAAGAGATGCTCTAACCAAACATAAGCGCAAACATTTATTACTCATTGTGCCAGACACTTAGAAGCCATTCTCACACCTTTCCAACAATTGTCATTAGCCTGGTAAGAGGGAAGAGTTGCAAACTTGAAAATGAATACGCATGCCATTAGTAATACCTATCTTTGGAGTACTTAGAAGAAGAAGAGAAATTTCAGCACATTTGTGCGTAATCCTTAAATTCAGTAAAACGAAAGGCTAAGATGTTCTAAAGTACAGTTTTATAAATAAAATGACTTTTCTCCCTAGCACCTTTGAATTCATTAGTTTAAAACTGCTTTTAATTTGCTCTTTCCCAGGAGAGCCATTATATTTTTCTCCTGTCAGCCTGATGCTGGAGAAAAAAGAGAACTGGCAGATGTGGTGTTTTTCATCTAGTTTGCTTCCTAGTTAAAAAGTGCATTAACTGCTATGCATAGGATATTATTTCTAATGACTCTTCACTACCATTAACAACTTTAAAGAAACTTGGTTTAAATATTGCCAGTGCAAATGGATAAAATATAAAATATTTTTATTTCTACCCATTATGATGGAGACATTTTGTGCTATTTTTTAGGTCATTACAGGAACTATTTTCAGGAATCTACAGAAAATAGGATTTTTTAAAATACCTTTTTCCCAGACAATTCCAGTGGTTCTTAGAGTATATTATGTTTCAACTCCTGGTCTAGCTATATATAGTTTACAGCCTCATTTACTTTAATGTGCTAGCTGAATAACATAATCACAGCTATAACTATGGTATAGGGCCATAAGGTGTATGTGCCTCCAATGTTTTTTGACTACTTAAATGGCTTGTTCATAAATGTTCTTTTAATAATAATGGCAAACCTGTTAGTAACTAGATGTCAAAAAATAGTGAGTCATTCAAATGGGCTCCTTTTCCAGCTAAAATGTTTAAAATGTGGCTTTGAGATCAAAGGTACATTGTTTTTATTATAAGTACTGCATATTCTAACAAGTAGAAGATTTTTGCTGTGAATTCATACCCGTTTCTGTGCACTTATGTAAACTTCGTAATGTATTTGTCTTTTCCTTTTCTTCTCAAACAAGATGTGATTTTCATCCAGAAAGGTCAACTGAGTATGTATCACAGAAGACTATGTATATACCTAAGATAAAACTCACTTGTGCACATCAGACAGCATTGTGTATTGACAGCTCTACAGGGTGTATTAACATCTTCTCTAGTCACCACCTCAGACTACCCTGTAAGAGTTTGAGAAAAAAAAATGTTTCTTGTTCTAGGCTCTTCGGTGTAACAGGAAACTGTGCTGCCTGTAGTAAGCTCATCCCTGCCTTTGAAATGGTGATGCGTGCCAAGGATAATGTTTACCACCTGGACTGCTTTGCATGTCAGCTTTGTAATCAGAGGTAAGCAGATTTCATTCTGGTCCCTAAAAATCGTAAAGCTCTCTTTGCTGGCAATTTATTTAATAGGTGGGAATTATATTATTAATTCAGTATACACTATACTTAAAACAGTTGATCTCAGCATTTTTGTTTTCTGCAAACATTCATTCAGTGCCACAAACAAATAACTGAGGAAAAGAAGGGTCTTAAACCTATACTTTTATCTGAAAGAAATGCATCCTATGACAGGATATGATAGGAAATGAAAACACTTCTATAAACTTTTAGTCTTCTTCTTATTTATTTTTTCTTTTATTTTTTGCTTTTCTCTATTTTAAAAAGTAGGTTTAAAATATCTTTACATTTTTAGATGGCTTTTGTGAGCAAACAAATTTGCACTGAGGCAAATATACAGGAGTTGGTGGTGGGTAGTGTGTATTCATCTTATTTTTCATACTTATGTGGTCCCTATCTCCTGATTTCTTATCTTGAATCTTAACCTTGTTTTATAGGTGCTTTTTAAGTTGCATCAAGGCTGTTTGGGAACAAGGCTGGATATAGCTAATAAGTAGAGACTTATCAGCATTGGAGAATGGAAAGCATATATTGCAGGGACTCCAGAAACCTAAATTCCAGGCTGGGCTTTGCCACTCACAAGATGTATGACAGTAAACCAACCATTTTGGCTCTCAGGACTGCAGTTGTACAGATTATTACAAATACAACATTTCAATAATTAGTATACTTTATTGATTTCAATGAAAATAAATTCAAACTGTTTCACTGTTCCATGCAGCGTCTTCTTGAGACACTGTAAGATAGTAGAAAAAAATGTGATAGTTAGAATGAGAACTGGATTCAAATTCCAGTTCCACCATATATTAGCTGTGTGATCTTGAGTATGTTATTTAATCTCTGACTTTGGATTCCACAGCCTTAAAATGGACACATTAATGCCTTTTTTAGACTTTGAAAATTCAGTGAAATAATTTATATTAACTACCAGGGACATAATGTTTCTCAAAAATTAGTTATTTTATACTGATATTTATAATTCACTTTTACCAAATGATATTCCACTACCTTAGTTTTTACACAAGATGTCTATCTCAATAATGTCTCCTAAATGTTTAGAATGTGGCCCACTGCAATATATAATTTAAATGGGAAATAATTGAAGATGTCATTTTCTAAGATCTTGAGTCTTCCCAACAAATATTTGGAATCAAAGTAGGTTAATTCAGACTGTGGTGATATTTAGCCAAAAATAAGTTGGCAAATGTACGTGTTTATTTTAAGGGTATGGATTCACAAACACAAATATCCACACATCCATACAGACACATGTATATGTGTGTGTGCATGTATGTGTATGCATTTTAAAGATGTATTAGTAGCACATTTAGAATACTTCTGTTTACTTGACACACCAGTGTACTGACAGCATGCTAACGCTACAGTTATTTTTATTCCATAATAATATTTACTGCTTTTCTACCTATAAAAGTGTGCATATTCATCATAGAAAATTTAGAAAAAAGAAAAGGATAAAGAATAATGTCATCCCATATCTTACTATTCTAGAAGAAAATATTTTAGTATTTTGGTGTATAGCTAACCATATATTCTTCTATGCATATATGAAAAATGATATATTATGTATAATTTATATTAAACCCTCAGAAATCTGAGAGGAAAGGAACAAGGGAGAATCCTAGGGTTTGATAATTGGACTTTTTCATTTAATATAGTGTGTTTTTTACCTGCCTTTAAAAATTCTTTTAAGATATTTTAAGCTTTCTTGTGTTGGGTTTTATGGATAAAGCTTCCTGTAAATCAATTCTATTAGATGGATAGGATTTTCTTCAAGCTTTTATGTTATCAGTATTACCAATAGAATATAGACTTCATAAACAAATCTATGTCAGGATAAGTTTACAGGAGGATAATAATTAATTGGACAAAATATGTAACATTTTGAAGGCTTCTGTTATATTTTGCCAAATTGCTCTTCAGAAAAGCTATGCCATTTATTCTCAGACCATAAATGTAAAGAACTCTATTCCCTCACATTTGCTCTAACACTGGGAATTATTATTTAAAAGAATTCCTTGTCACCTAGAGGGATGAAAGGGGTATCGCATTATAATTTTTAATTAGCATTTATTAGATTACTAATGGCCATTTGGTATTTCTTCTTTGGGGGAACTGCCTGTTAATCCCCTCTGTCCATTTGTCTACTAGGGCACGCTCACCTATTTTATCTATGTACTCCACAGAAAATCAAAACATCAGCCAAGGGCTAAACCCAGCCTAAATTCTATTATGATGCCAAGTAATTGTAGGTTGTTAATGCTATTTACAAATCATATATCAATTTTATTTCACCATTGAAATAAAAAGTTGCATTCACAATTAAGTCTGTCTCCTCAGTAGAACTCAGTGAAGTAAGACACACACTCCTAAATTTTGACTCTAAAACTGTTCACATTCTTATTGCTGCAAAATACTATTCTAGTATCATTATTAAAGTACCTAATATATTTCTGTGTTCGCTTCATTTATTACATGCCATAATGGGACTGCATATCTTTAATGCTGGTTATGCACAATTAGCACTTAGCTATTGTCTTGTCACTTCAGCCCTTACAAGACAAACTTCTTTAATGCAAGAAGTCAGCTAATCTTCATCAGTCAAGCAAAGCAGACAAATTCTGTTACTCTGAATATAGAGGGTTTTCAATTTAGGAGATTCTCCTTTTATGTTGATGTTCACTGTGAAAATCCTGTCCAGTAAAGCCATATGCCACATGAACTTAAACTTTCATGGTCAAATCATTGCCACAGTATTGCACTTTTTCACATGAAACATAAGGTAAATAGGTAGTTTATAGGCACTTTCCCTTAGGCAAACTTTATTGACATTGGAAATTGTGCTATTATAAATCCTTATGAGTTTTATTTAGCAGTCATTTCATTTTAACTTTTAAATCAAAATATCATTAAGATCTAAAGCATTTCTGAATGTTTTTCTTTAAAAATTGTAGTAATAATAACTTTTCAGGGTTGGTTCTTTATATATACCCTTTCTGCCCTTTTCACAGAGGTAAGACTAAAAATGTGAATCCTGAATTAAAAATCTAAAGGTTTCTAACTTAAAATTCATTCAGAATTAGAAAAGTCTGTGCAATAGGTTATTGCTTAGAGATGAATAAGCCCCTCCATCTTAGAAAAAACATGCTCATTTGTGTGAAATTGCCTCAAACACGTGGAACTGAATAACATTAAAAAATAAAAGCACTGTGCTAGGCTCTAAGGAAACAGAGGTGAATAAAACCTAGTTTCTTTCTCAGAGGCATTCAGAGCTAACAGAGGTAAGACTAAAAATGTGAATCCTGAATTAAAAATCTAAAGGTTTCTAACTTAAAATTCATTCAGAATTAGAAAAGTCTGTGCAATAGGTTATTGCTTAGAGATGAATAAGCCCCTCCATCTTAGAAAAAACATGCTCATTTGTGTGAAATTGCCTCAAACACGTGGAACTGAATAACATTAAAAAATAAAAGCACTGTGCTAGGCTCTAAGGAAACAGAGGTGAATAAAACCTAGTTTCTTTCTCAGAGGCATTCAGAGCTGTAGCAGAGACAGGACATCAAAGATTCACGAAAGAAGGGAATCGATGCTAAACAGATCCATACTTAGGGAAGAGAGGTGTGTCCTTCTTGAAGTCTTGAGGAAACATCAAAGGGTTGATGTGCTGGGTTTTACAAAGGAACTCCCGGGGACTGGCTGAGATACAGCAAGTGTGTCTGGTGGGGGTCGGGGAAGATGAGGAAGCCAGCCAGCAGCGAGGGAAGGGTTTTCCAAACCGATGGACCTGCCTGCAAGGCATGAAGGTGTGAAAGCATTTAGTGTGTTCAGGAAATGGAACCTAGGTCAGTGCTCTCAGAGATTAGAAGGAGTTTTCTAAAGATATGGAAGAGTCGGGAACAGAGTGAGGGGTTGGGAGGAGATGAAAATGTGAAAGTCAGTGAATGAAAGTCAAAATGAATACAAATTTAAATTATTCATCTAAAATAACTTTGTTGTTTAAAGCTTTTCTGACTTGGAATAAATCTGTTTTAACCAATATTTATTGACCACCCACCTCAAGCGATAGTACACTTTATGGTTGTATTTCAAAGAGTTTAAAGTATACCTCAGCACTGCTCTCCAGATTGAGAAGCCTGTTATTACACAGTCATTAGAATCTTTGAAATGGCAAAGTAAATGATACACCAGTAAACAAGTGCCTTGGGAAAAATTACAATGGGTTAACATGGTCAGGGAATATTGATGGAGGGAATAGGAACTAAAGATTTTTTTTAATTTAAATGCCAAAAGGGGGGAAATACATTCTGAACAGCTTAAGCCACTGTGAAAAGATTATTAGTAGCAAATAATAATGATAGCAGGTTCTTTTATAGTCCTGATCACACACCAGACTTTGTTTTGGTTTGGATGCACGACTTCATTTACTATGTGAAATAGCCCATAAATAGGTACTACTATTAGCCTCCTTTTACAGGTCAGGAAACTGAAGTAGAGAAAATTGAAGTAACTTCCCCAAGATTACACAGATAGAAAATGGTAGACTCACGATTTGAACGTAGGCAGTCTGGTTCTTGTCTCTGGACTCAGAGCTGCTGTGAGAGCACCAGCCTGTTTCAAGAAGGGATTTTATTTTTCTGACTAAGTGAATATAAATATGAATAGATACAGTAGCATTTAAGTAAGGTAGACTTTGAGTAATGTATAGCAGGATTCAGGGTGTGGGTAGTGTAACTTGGTTCAGAAAAGATTGTTAGGAATGAAGTTTGTAATGACAACTAGCCTGTCCTTGGGAAAAGACAGTTAATTTGTGCACAAGGGCATAGTGGTGGAACAATTAATATATATAACCTGCACTTCTTACTAAAAACAAAGTGCGGTATCAAAATCTCCACCTTTTAATAATTGAGGATGCTAAATAGGAAAGTAGAGACATTACAAATAGAGCTGGGACACTCACTCCTTGCCCCTTTTTTTAAAGTGTTGTGGAAATAGAAATTAATTATTACTGACAGTCACTAACCTTAGGGAAATAAGATAACTAAGTTAACTTTTTCATTCTGAGAAAGAGTATTTCAAATAGGGTCTTCTCAGCAGAGGCTTTTGAGAGCCTGTTCAAAACTACTTACTAAGTCCCATATTTTATAGCGATGATTAATGAGTTATACTTATTTTCTGTACTTTTTGGGTCTATAAGATCATATGAATTCAACTGGAATTACTCCAAATTATCTGGAAATTAAATCTATTATTAATTCTAAAATCAAGGTGAAATCCCTTACTAATCTGATGGGGCATCTTTTTATTCCTTAACATTTATTTTTTTAAATGAAGGCAAAATTAATTGAAGTGACTACCCCACAAGCAATTAGGATAAGATTACAAGGAAAACCATCAGTTTATTTTTAGGAATGTTAGCCTGACCTGTTAATATGCTTACAGTTTCCTCTGGCCATCATTGCTCTTAGAGTAATTTTTCTGCAACTGCTCAATCTCATAAGTAGCTGGTTACATAATATTGAAAATGAGCCTTTTTCACAAATCACAGTTACAGATTATTTTGTTAAGCATCTAAATATCTGCATTGCTGTTTCTCTAATTTCTTCATGTTTATATCTGGAACATTTTAAAGGAAGATACCACTCTCTATTTCAAAGCGACTACAATCGCTCTTCACCATAGCTTTCAAGGCTGTTTTGTTTAAATTACATGTGTAAGTGTGACATTCCTCACCCAGATTCTGTTTCACCTGGACCTTGAAGTATAAATTGATATGTACATAAAATGTACTTTATCCAGTTAACAACATATTAGTAACAAAACATTTCAGGTAGGAATATTTTAGATGAATTCCATTTATATGACCAAGATCTCATTGAATAGGAGACAGACTTTTTTTTAAGTTCTACAAAGAATAATAGTAATTACCTTGAGGTAAAGCATGGGTCTTGAATCCAAAGAGGCCAGGGTCCCTCCTTCCTCAACCCCACACATGCTAGTTACGGGAACATGGGCACATTTCTTAAATTCTGGGAGGAAGCCTCAGGATTTTCATCTGAAAAAAATGCAATGGCAATATTTACTTTCTCAGTTGGATATAAGGAATACATATGATTGTGTATATACATGCTTAGTGTTAGCATATGGTTAAATACTTTTTTAGAAAAGGTGGCTGTTTTAGTTGTCTGCATTCCAAACACTGAGGTAAGGCTTTACATATTTCATTTGTACTCTACCACAAACTTATAGAAGTTACTGATATTAAATAAAATAAAAGCTGAAGTTTCATTTTCAATATCATAAGGAAGGTTGGGAGTTGAGCCCAAATCATTGCAATATGCCTCTCTTGTCTTTCATAGACTTCTTATTTTAGCACCCCTACAATCCAGTGACACAGCTGTCTTATCTTAACCACAAGAGACCTGACTCAGAAAGCATGAAATGTACCCTGTGTCACACTGGGAAGGTGATTGGCAGGGCTCAGGACTAGATCCCTAGACTCTTGGTTCAGCTCTTTTCTCACCAGAATTACCCTAAATTTATTAATCTACAAATAAAAGTTACCTAAATTTCAAGGCCTCTGCAGGTAAGAATGACATAATAAATAACCTGTACTTCTTACTGAAGTTTTTATTTGATAGCAAATAGAATTGAGAGCCTTGTTAAAAAATTAAAGGAAAACTTGAGGCTATATGAAGTTGAATAAGTACCAGCTTAGTTGGTTTTTAGAGGAAAAAAAAGATTAGGTAACATCAGCTGGAATACAATAGTGTTTTACTGATTTGATTTATTTTTGAAGATATTTTAATAGTAACACCTTATTAGTCAGTTCAAATGAATTTCAACAGTAATATAAATTGAAAATTTTGAATGGCAAATATATTCCACATGTGATTTTCTATTTTCTCACATAAAAGGTAAGTATCTAATTTGACTACTTACGCCGATCCAACAAAAGAAATATTTCCTTTTCTTCAACGCATCTTAACGACCAGGATCATCTACAAAAACTGTTTTATTCAAAAACACTTTTAATGCACAATATTTCAAGCTTATAGTTTGCAACTAATAAAAAGAAGATATACTTAAAGTCCAAACCTGAATGCTCATTGTATCCAGTAGCCTTGAACACAAACAGCTACAGGATTTCAAGATCAGTGCATAGTCTGTATTTTCAATCAACATCATCAGCAGGCAGTAATCCTAGGGAAAAAAAGTAAATTCCACAAATAAACAGACCAATCTTCCTTTAAGAGGAAAGCTAATTCTTTTCAATCTACTTTTTTTATTACACTATTTTCCCCTCTATCTACTTAGCTAGAATAAGGATAAATTTCCAAAGCTACCCAGTTGGAAAATAAATAGGTTCACTGTTTGTCTAGCATCCCAATCTTTGCAAATGTAAATCAGCCCAACTGCTCCTCATTTAAACCTTCAACTTCACAAAACATTAAAGGGTGGGTTTCACTGCACATTTTAATCTCTCCACTAACATTTCTGCTTGAACATTACTCGAATTGACTCCCTGATAAAGAGAGGCCACTATCAAAGGTCAGTGAGGTCAACTTGAATAATTACAAGTAGTTTTACCGGGTCAACTCTACCAGACACTGCTGTTTGAAGGTTAAATTGTTACAATTAAAAATATATACAGATCTCCCCAGAGTTACTTTATTGTTAAATGTACCGGAAACAGAGCAAGCATTTATTTCTGACCTTAATTGTGTCCAGGGTGTCACCACTGGGAAATTATACAAAAAGAGCACTTATTAAAAACATTACAGTTTTGCACGTTAAACAATGCTTTATAGAATGAAATATATAATTAGCTACTGGAAACTAGTTTATTTATCACATCGATGTTAAGAAGTTCATTCCGGTTACTCCCTTCGGTTTAATTGGAAGTGCTCAAAGTGACATTTACTATTTCATAGTTGGTGAACTTGCCACAAACAAAGGAATATGGCCCAGCGTCAGAGCAGGCTGATGCTAAACCAACTTTCACTTCAGAGCAATCACTTCCAAATTACTAGAATTTAATCACATTTTAATAACCAAGAGTAAAAGGAAGCTTTAAATGGACTGTTTTCTAATTGTTTGATTCACTGTAATGCTCTCACTTTTTTTTATGAAGTGGATAAGGTGGATAGCCAATGACAAGACCTTCCATAATCATGGCAGTGAAATATTATGATCATTCTTTCTTTAATTTTAATGAGTATAAATATAGATCAGTTCTTTTTTCTTTCCCAGTGTGGTAAAAAAGAAGAAAAAATTTACCTCTGCTGCCCGAGGTTTTCCTATGTTTTTTATTTATAAAGGTAGGGTTTCAAATTGTGTGTACAGCGTTTTGTTACATGACTTAAATGCTTTAACTTGGACTATAAAGGCAGCTTTCTAAGCCAAGTTTTCAAATTCGAGGAATCACCATGTGCAGTTAGGAAAAGAAAACTTCAAATCTATAGATCTGAGTGAATTGGTCTTAACACATTTTATTTTTTTTAATATTTACAGATTTTGTGTTGGTGACAAATTTTTCCTAAAGAATAACATGATCCTTTGCCAGACGGACTACGAGGAAGGTTTAATGAAGGAAGGTTATGCACCCCAGGTTCGCTGATCTATCAACATCACACCGTTAAGAATACAAAGTACTACATTCTTTTATCTTTTTTGCTCCACATGTACATAAGAATTGACACAGGAACCTACTGAATAGCGTAGATATAGGAAAGCAGGATGGTTATATGGAATAAAAGGCGGACTGCATCTGTATGTAGTGAAATTGCCCCCGTTCAGAGTTGAATGTTTATTATTAAAGAAAAAAGTAATGTACATATTGCTGGATTTTTTTGCTTGCTATTTGTTTTTGTGTCACTTGGCATGAGATGTTTATTTTGGACTATTGTATATAATGTATTGTAATATTTGAAGCACAAATGTAATACAGTTTTATTGTGTTACCATTTGTGTTCTGTTGTTCTTTGTATTGTTGCAGTTAGTACAATCAGTGTTTAAACTTACTGTATATTTATGCTTTCTGTATCTACCAGCTATTTTAAATGAGCTGTAACTTTCTAGTAAAGAACTGAAGAGGAAATCTCACTAATGAAATACATATAGATAAAGCAAGTCTATCAACAATAAAAATAGTAAAACTACACACACACAACATTTTAGCAACATCCACTATAATTGCCACTATGATTTAGAGTCTATCAGTCTTCTCATCACAACCCCCTATTTTCAGGGGGTTAAAGATCAGCTTTAAAAAAAGTGCATAAAAATTTCATCTTAAAGCACTTTCATTTTATACCAACGTGAAAAGTGCCATTTTAAAAATAACTTTAAAGCTTAAAGCTTAACAGTTATACTTCTACGATCCGTGTGGTGTGTGTATGTGTGTGTGTGTGTGTGTGTGTGTGTGCTCATTATCTACACAATGGCTTCATTTTATTTGTTTGAGCCATTCACCCCTTATGTGAACTAGTGCCTTTGGGTATCATGTAAATTTTTTCCAAAGGGTTACTTTAGGAAAGTGTTACACAATTGTGAGATAATTGTAAAATGATAAATTTCTTGTACAAATTTTGCCTGAATCTCTCCATAAGAGCTAAAGGTTTAATAACTTTATAACTTGATAAATTTCTGGCACTGAAAGAATTTGAGTGCAAATCTCCTGAAACCATGATAATGCACACTGAAGCTATATTTGAGTAGTGAGGTTCCTTTTGACCAGAGCAACCTAGTGCTCACAGAATCTTCTAGAAGAGAAACAGAGGGATTGGTAAAAAAAAAAAAAAAAAAACTGATAACTGGTGATTATATATTTTTCTGTATTTACCTGATACTTATTTGAATGTTCAAAAGTGAACACTTTAAAAGTTTGATGTGTCTTACTTACTCTCATTCTTTCCTTAAGTCATTACCCACTCAGAATATATCACTTAGGCTAAAATCTATTATTCCATTTTTGAAAGCTGAAAAACTCTCCTCTTCCTTTCATGATAGCTGATGAAGTAGAAAGCTTTCTAGAAACAAATTATGGAAACTGGTTATTTAAATTACAATTAAGGAAATAAAAATGAGACTGTGATCTCTTCTCCTGGGTTGCTCACCGTTTGCTTCTGTTTCCTGTAATAGAACTACTTTTCAACAAAATAATTCCACACAGGCACAATGAAGCATAGTGTTACTAGAGCAAATTTCGCACTGCGGATTTTTCTTTTTTCTTTATTTTTCTCTCAATCACTTATATAGAAACCAATATTTCCCCAATATGCAAAATACGTTATTTGCATACATATTTTGTCCTGCCAATAATACATGCATTGCAGGTGAAAATGAAATGTGATAACCTGAATTCTTGGTTTGGGGCCAAAATAGTAAGCTGAAAATAATGCTGTGTGGATTTGAGTTGTTTTAAAACAAAGTTTTCCTATGACCATGCATGTGAATCTGGATATTGCCTCTTATTTTTAAGAAAATGGTTCTGTGAAAAGTGAATGATCTGTATTTTTACAAATGCTTCATGGTTAAGAGTGTTCATGTCACCTGTCCCCCAGATTTGAGATATACTGAAAAAAAAATTTTTTTTTTCAAAATACCTAGTTGGGGCCTAAAAAATAACTATTATTTTAGCCTTAGAGCCTTACATTTGTTTCCTGAAGAGACTTGCATAGCAGAAACCAAAACAGAAGAGCAAATAGGAGGAGTAAGGGAGATAGTGTGAAGTGGTTCTCCTAACACAGCCCTGCTAGTCCCCAGTGAGAGTTGTTTACCGCTCATGTGGATGTAAAATTTTAATTATCAGTATCTTTACCGAGTGATCTTTCTTAGATTTAAATGGTTTGCATATGTTTATCAATATGTCAAAATACTTGCAAATTAGGGACAAACTTTTCTAAGTTTCCTGAAGCTGTTCGATTACCAGAAGACCACACAAGGTTTTTTTTTTTACTGACTTTTTGTTTGCTAAATCCTCTGGGAATTAATTCTTACGCTTTTTGCTACAAACAAAATTACTCACCTGGATTAAAGATTAAGGCCTTAATCTCCTTAGATTATCTTTAATCTCCGTGAAATTGTGAGACAAGACAGAAATAGGCCATTTTGCAGCTAATTGCCCAGAAAGAGAAGCATTTTTGACCTGAAGTGCTCAACAGATTGTCTTGATTTACTCAAAGTCCCAGAGTTATTGTCAACTTTTTTCTCTGTATTGTGTAGCCCTGATGTCACTTAGCTTGTTATCTGACGCATCCAGTCTGACACTGGATCTTTGATTTCTCAAGCAGCGAAAGCACCCTTCCTAACATGTGTCTCGTAATAGGCTGCCTGTGATGAAGGGGCAGGTCCCTCCACTTCACCGGAGTGCTGGCTGAATTTAAAAGCTGACCTGTGTTTGTAATTTTCACTTTCATCTTGCTTAATAAATATCCGCTGGATTCTTGCATTCATATTTTATATTTGGATTTATGTTTTTAATAAAAGGGGTGTTAGACTATTTGATAGCGCTTAATTGGCAACCTCTAAGATGATCCCTAGAAAGTGTATGTTAAGCCCATAAAAAAGGGGGAAAACAATGTGTGAGGACATTTATCTTCAAAAAGTAGATCATGACAAACATAGAAAAAGTAACTCAGATGCTTTCTCCAAATGTTGTATTTAGGATCTCTCAGCTTTGGTAGTTTACTGCTATTTACTTTTGTGGGGAAACTAAAACTGTCAGAAATAAAGGTAGCAATTGCTGGGTGTAATTTTGTGCATTTATACAAATCTGAAGTGATCTTTCTGAAAGCAACTGTGTTGCTGTTGTCAGACTCGATTTCCAATTTCCTGTCTAATTAATTAAAACCACAAAACCCCAACTAAAGACTACATTTTCAAGGAAACGATGTTTTGCTTAACGGAAACAGGGTGCTGAAAATTGTATCTGCAGTAAAACATGCCATACACAAGTGGTGGCCTTTTAACTATCACTTTATGCAACCACCCGCTGCATAGTCACTTAAACAATTTCATAGAAACGATACAGGCCAAACATGTTTAGTGTTCAGCAAGTTGCAAAAACAATCTGCATGTTGATTGTAAAAGGGCCATTAGCACAAAATAACAATCTTAGCAAAAGCTTTTGCATTATTTTTCTTAAAAACATCACTGTAGGTACTTCTTAATGTAATTTTAATGCAATTTAAGGGAATAGAAAACAAAGCTTTAATATAGCCATGATTTCAGTTGACATTTAAGTACCTACTGTGGGAAAGGCCTTCCTCTGAGCACTCCTTCTTTTACTGGGCAGCCTTAGGATACTCCACGTTAGGCATCTTTAACGTGTCTGCTTCCCACTGGTTTGTACTTATCTCAAACCTACTACTAATGAGCCCACAGAAACGAATACCATACTGTCTTGTACCTTTTCAGAATGTCATTGGTATGAAAGCCCCAGAAAATATCTCAAGTAATCAATGTGTTCAGAGAATTATCTCACACAAATTACTCATTAACTCAATAGCACATAATAAAAAAGAACATCAATCAATTAATGAGTCACCCTCAGATCACTGTGATTACAACAGAGTTCTGTTGAAACAGCAGTTATAAATGGAGCTGCCTCTATTCACTGTTTGCAATTGGCCTATTATTTGGCTGAAACCAGTGTCATATTTAACACATGACTGTAGGTAATTGTGTGATTAGCATCATAAATGAAGAATTCAGAAATTCTGCTGCTTATAAGACCCTATAAAAGGTCATAAAAATGAAGAAAACTCTCATTTGTCCTAGAGTTTCCTTTGAAGCTAACCTATTAGAAGGGTATTATCTTTCTAAAAGACATAACCAAGATGGAGGAGTTGCATGTTGAACATTATAAGGATTAGCAGCTAAAACAATTAAAAGCATATTCTACAATACTTTAGACGACACATAATTTAATTTCAGTAACTTTACAAATATTAAAATGCACAACCACTTCTATAAACATTTTGGTACCCCAAAAGGACATTTCTTGCTTTGGGTGGCCCCAGTTGGGGAGAGGGTGTGGGGATGGGCACAATAGGGGAAGAGATTTAAAAAAATATATCTAATATTACTTACAAAGTCATCAACTGAATTTTCCCAACTATCTTGATAAATGCCATTCCAATAAACTTATAGAATAATTATAACAGTTCCCTTAGGTAGGTAAGAAACATCTGCTGGGAACACACAGCAGGTGTTAACAATTAAAACATGCTGAAAATTTTTTAAATGTTTTTAATTAAAAGAATTCTGTTTTGTGAAAAGGAAAATATGTTGAATTCAGAACCTCCTTTTTATTGAGCTTGCATGTCATATAACGCACAAAATGGTAAAGCCCAAATCATCTTGGATCAAGTAGGTTTTGTGTTTGTTTCAGATCATTGCAATCAAAAGTGAATTGGAATTCACTGCACTTTTTACACAACCAGTATTCTGGGCTGAGGAGCTGAATACTCATAAAATGGATATAGCAAAAGTGATTACAGAATATTTTGGCTTTATTGGCAAGTTGGTTACCATTAACTATACCAAATTTAATGGGCACAGTACAAAGACAAATGGGAACAAGAGACATTCAGATAATAAATTATCCATATCTTTTTAACTGTGCTTCCAGAAGAATTTAAATCACCTAAAATAAAACAGTGCATTTGCAATGTGTAACATTATTATATGACCCATCTTCAGTAGTTTTTACCAACAGCTAACATTTACTATAACACTTACCACATATCAGGCATTTTCCACACTCATGTAATTTCCACAACACCTTGTTACTTAGGTTCTATTACCCCTGTTTTACAGATTTTAAATAAAAACAAAGAGCAGGTACTTAACTTGTCCAAAGTCATGTAACTAGTGAATTGTGAGACTTAAACACAGAGTTTTTTGATACTAGGGCTTAACCACTGTACTACATCATCTCTTACAGGGTTGCCATTATTATTATTATTATCATCATCATCACTATTATTATTGTTTCCAGTCATGAACTGGAAGTTATCTATGCTTGAACAAAAATTCCAAACCTCCAGAGTTCATGTCATCTGTAAAGATGAAAATTGGGAGGATGACCATATTTTTCTAGATGCATCTACCTGGGGACCTCACTCTTTCAAACACACCATCAAGGAATTTATATTAGCCTGCAAAGCCAGGATACCAAGAATAGGGGATCCCTAGGACAGCAATGTCAGGAACAATAGGTAGTCAGCATATACTTGATAGTAATTCAAGCAGAAAAGCTGCAATTTTCTGCATCAGGGTAAACACGCAGTGGTGAGGTGAGGCTAGACCAGTCTCAGAAGTCAAGATACATAAAATCAATCTATCTGTCTTTGATATTTTATAACTACTTCCATAACTTAAAACAAAATCAGAATAGCAATCTGTATCAAGCTGTGGGTTCACTGGGCTAAAGACACACAAGCTATGTAATGCTGGCTCCAGGTCAGCTGCCAAATAGCTAGGAAGTCTTTAGTCTCAGAATCACAACGGCAAACCAGGCGGAAGCAATAGTGGGCAAAAGCAGTTACTTTTACCATAGACCAGAGTGAAATGAGACTATTTACTCCCTCATGTCACCACAGGAAAATCCCCAAGACATCTTCCACTTCAGTTGCTCACTGCCATCACTTCCATATATTGGGCCTTTTGAATCCAAATCATTCCAGATTAAGTGGTTCTGATGGGAACTTCCAACACACAAATGTGTTCCTGTATTTTCAGTATATAATTAGGACTTAAACTGAAGAGCTTAGAGCTATGATCATCGTAGAGGAACGTGGTCAGACTGGGTTTCAAAAACAGCGTGTGGCTCCTCCACCTAGATGGCATGGTGGGAGCTGCAAGAAGTACTAGTTGTGTGATAGTTTAGGCCAATTACAATATGCTTCCCTTCAAGCCCAAGACTGGTGCAACTGCGAGGCTGTCTGGAAGTTAACCTCCTCTGTTCTTCCTAGAGTATCTTCAATTTAGTGTGAATAGTAGCAGGGGTTAGAAGACACAGACACCACCTCTGAGGCAGTAATTGGAACATGAGAAGAAAATAGGTGAGAAAAGTAAACTACGGGAGATGGGATGACAAGTTACCTGGAAAAAAAAAATCCAGGCAATTTTATTTTTTAAAAAATCATTGATCACCTACTGTTTGTGTAGCATCATACTAGGCATTTCTTAATTTTTTTCTGCCTGAGAGATTTTGATGCATGAAATATAATAACATGATGTTCACTGCCATTTATTCTTTGCTTAATGCCCAATTTATTGAATATACAACTCTAACAATGCAATTTTGCTAAACATTTGTACAGCACTTAGACAGCTAATAAACCAAAACTTGTAAATTTCATAAGTCAGATCCATTTAAACAGATTAGAATCTTAGTCAAATTCTCCTTCACATTTCAATAAAATCCCATATAATAGGCTTCAAGTACTTTAAAACTAGGAAGAAATTCTCCCAATGAGTCAAAACGTACTTTTAAAAAGAAGACAGAGCTGTAACAATAATTATTCATTTAAATTAATTTTTTTATCTCTTGTTTCATATCTTTCTAAGGCTACATTCATAGTAGTAATTCTTTTTAAAATTAGAGAATATTGTCTCAAGTAGTTTAGATTACAGGATCTGTGTTGCTGACTGTATGAATTTTGGGGCATAAGAATTAGCTACCTAATCATAAGTGATTCAAATCTGAGCCAGTGTTCATCAAGGTAGCCAACAATTTAATAATGATGCTTTTTTTTGTTACATCAATGAATCTTTTTTAAGGCCAAGTCTTTCAAATAGGTGATAACTCCCTATAAGACAGTGCTTTCCCCAGAATTGATATGTTAGCATTATTGGAAACTTATTTATGCCATTTTATATCTCATTATGAATGCGATCTAGAATCATTTAGGGATTTTTATTTCTCAACAAACAAGGAATTGAGTCTATGCCATCAAATTTCCTATTAGGACAGTTGGTTAATCCTCTTTTTTGCACCAATTATTGAATCCTATTCTTAACTGATTATAATCCACTACCACCTGCTTGATTGATATTTTGTGTTCTTGGGATGGTTGGACTTAAAATTCTCTACATTTAGTCTTCTTTACTTAAAAAAAGAGACAAATACAAATTGACACTGTACAAATATGTGTACAGTCAGTAAAACAAACAGACCCCACACACCATTATATTTAGCTCCTTTGCATTATAACTTATATTTCAGTTTTTTCCCCTTTTGAGTACCGTTGCAGACTTATGGCTATCACAGACTCAAACTCATTGCAAGGGGTTTAGTAGTAGGTGAAATTTCAAGTATCTGTATGTTTGTGTGTGTGTGTGTGTGTGTGTGTGTGTGTGTATGGGGTGCATGTGTGTGTGTGCAGTTTTGACTGCAGGTGTCAATTAGAAAAGTATGTTTTGAAAGATAGTACCTTAGAAAACCAGAAAAC